GAGAGAGAGAGAGAGAGAGAGAGAGAGACACACACACACACACAACACACACACTGGGGATTTAACCCCAGGGTACTCTACCACTGAACCACATCCCTAGTCCTCTTTTATTCTATTTTGAGATGGGGGTCCCCTGTTGCTGAGTGAGGCTGGCCTTGAACTTGCAATTCTCATGCCTCAGCCTCCCAAATCACTCCCATTACAGGCAGTACACCATCATGCCCAACTTTTCTTTCTTAAATTTTAAAAAACTTTTATTTTCAACCATCATACTTTAAGGCCAGGGGTACAGTTTTGAAAATTGGACAAAGATCATAGTTTTGAATTCTCTGAGGCAAGTTGATTTTTAGTTCCTGTTCTTCTGCTACCAAATGCTGTTGCTTCTGAAACTTACTCCTCATCCTTCTAGAACCTGATCAGGTCTGAATGCCAAAACTGATCAGGTTATTTATTTAAAAGAAAACTCTTCAAACCCAATAATAGTGACTATTTTCTGCCCTGGTACCTGAATCTCAAGATCCTGAACTTGGTGTCCTATAGTGTAGGAGAGGATGAATAACTCTGGGGCAGTGATAAAAACAACAGAGGAGGACTAAAGGAGTCGCTCTACCGTGCTTGCCTACCACGCACAAGGCCCTGAGTTCCGTCTGCAGCAGCAACACCACCACCATAACAAAATCAGAAGGGATGAACTCATAACAGCCAATCAGTCCTTTAAAATGTATTACTGAAGCTATGGGAAAAGAAAAATTAAAAATAAAATAAAAGAAACGTGAGGAGGAGGTCGCGGCAGGCGAAGGCCACGTCCCGCTGCCCGCCGGCGGCCCCGAGTTCCGCGACGATGGCGCCGAGCCGGGCCCGCGCGAGGGCAAGCGCTCCTACTCCATGGAGCACTTCCGCTGGGGCAAGCCGGTGGGCAAGAAGCGGCGCCCGGTGAAGGTATACCCCAACGGTGCGGAGGACGAGTCGGCCGAATCCTTCCCGCTCGAGTTCAAGAGGGAGGCTGTGCCCGGCCCCGACGGCGCGGCGGCCCTCGCCGACCTGGAGTACGGCCTGGTACCCGAAGCCCAGGCGGCGGCGGCCGAGAAGAAGGACGACGGGCCTTATCGCATGGAGCACTTCCGCTGGGGCAGCCCGCCCAAGGACAAGCGCTACGGCGGCTTCATGACCTCTGAGAAGAGCCAGACGCCCCTGGTGACGCTGTTCAAGAACGCCATCATCAAGAACGCGCACAAGAAGGGCCAGTGAGGGTGCAGCGGGGCGCAGGGGCTTCTCTCCTCCGGGAAGTCCATCCTAAAGCCCCCTGGCTCGCCTGCCCCTCTGCCTGGCCAGCTTCTCGCTGGGGCTGGTGGTAGCGACAGACATTCAACCCTTAAAGCTGTCTGTAGTTAGGAAATAAAGCCTTTTAAAATTCACAGCCGTCTCTGACTTTGTGTGAATAAAACTAAAATACAAAGATCAGCATTTACTGGAAGAGAAACATAGTGGTTTCCATGTGACCACTGTGTTTCATTAGATGGGGATAAAATGGAAAGACGACCTTCCTCCCTCCAGCCATGGATCTTCAGGGGACCAACTAGTTTGAATGACTCAGGGTGGCTTTCAGTCCAGTGTTCCTAGGATGGCTACATTTCTCACCCTCCTGCACTGAGTGAAGATGTGCCAAAAGTCATAGTTCCTACAAGAGTGACCATGGGGACTCAGGGAGCCAGGCAGGCACCTCGCGAGGCCCACTCATCAAAGGGAGGACTCTGGACTGTCAAGTGGGAAGCTGTGGTCATGCTTTTCGGTGACTGTGCCCTTTGCTACTTGTGTGACCTTAGGCAATTTCAAGTTGAGTTCTTTCATTTACTTCTCCCTTCTTAGCATAAAGGCTGAGAGTTGGTATATTCCCAGACACATGGTCTCACTGCCTTCCACACATGCTCATGGAGAAACATCTGTTTAAATACAACACAATATGCAGATGCTTCTTACAGTTCTTAGGCTCAAACCTGGAGATCCCTGACTGTTTCCCACTGGCTCTGGCCCAGCTCCTCATCCCCATGTTGCCTGAATGCAGCCCTTCATTCTCGTCCTCCCCACTCAGGCCTTCATTCTAACCAACTTGTCTCCAGGTGCTCTCTTCTCCAACCATCATACACAAATTACTCATATTAACATGTAAAAATACTTCTCCATATTCTCTGACTTGTGAGCCAAAACAGTACTTCCTCTTCCCGATTTTCTGTTAATTCCAAACTATTGGGCAGGGCATGCAGGGTCCTTGTCAACCAGGTTCACTTCCCTTCCAAGACTGTTTCCTTGAATGAAGGCTCTGCCTCATGCCTACTAGTTTTCTCATTGTTCCTCTGCCATCCTTCTTCACTCTCTAGACCCTCCCACCCCCATTTTAAATGATGTCGTTTTTCAACACAAGCCCAGGCTCAACTCCAGCTCTGCTGGGCAATATGATCTCTTCCAGCTACTCCTTATCCCCAGTGTTTCTTCAGCCAGCCCCCTTCAGCATGGAGGGAATGCTCTGTGGCTAGAATGGCAAGTTACTTGCTGTCTGTATGTCTTGTTCTCTCAGCTCTGTAGGGCAGAAGGCAGGTGTTGTGTGTTATGTTTCTTTTCAATCTCCCTGTGGCATTCTCACAATGCTGGGGCCACAGGTTTGCAGCCACACATTTACAATACACAAGAGATTCACAGATACCTACAGGGCTGCAGGCATACCTGTCACTTGCATTCGGCACACCAGTGGACAGAATATATCAAAGCCAGCTGGGAAACATTTGTATATAGCATTTACACAAATACCCCTGTGGTTGATGCTCTGGGAGTTCGCAATGAAAGAAAATGGGGATTCTACCTGGGAAGTCCTGATATGAGGAGAGTTAGAAAATCATATTAATATAGGGTCTCCCTCAATAAGGGTTATAAGAAAAGAACTAGAATGAAGAATGGCCTGAGCCCGGTAACTGAGGATGCGCCTATGTTGGGAATCCTGGCCTCAAGTTTCCATGTTGGTAGCATCCTTTCCCTTACCTCCTTGGTTATGGGACAAGTAAAATAGGGTCAGTATGTATGTGTGTGTATGTGTGGGGTGCCTAAATGTCAGTGGTACACAGTTGGTATTTTCAAATTCTGTTTTTATCCCACCAAACAATTTACCTTAAAGAAATCAAACAGACAGCCATGTAATGACAACATTAACATTTATTTGAAAAGGGCATCATGAAGGCTCATTGGGAGATGGCAACTAATAATCCTAAAGAATGATTTTGCTAAGAATCCTTCCTACGTTCCCCCCCCCCATTCCCCTTTCCTCCCTTCCCTAAAATAAAACTAATTTGATTCAACAAATTTAAAATACAGAAAACTGCCACAGGCACTAATTCTGCACTCACATATAAATATGTCAGCTGTTATATACATATATTATCAACTATGAACTACATTACACACATGCACACATGGGCACACACACTCAGCCAGGTGTTGAAGGTCTAAATGGACACAGATGTTAATGTACGGGCTGCAGCATTTGTAGATTTACAACTCTGCACTCCATATGCCTGACTCCACAGTCATGGAGGAGTAGCGCAAAAGGGCAAGTTGACGGGACTTGGGTAGCCCTATGGTCCGCTGGAGGAGAGAAGCCCTGAACTATCAGGTTGATGTCCAAAGAGAGCACAGAAAATTTCCTTCTGGCCACAAAGCCCTTCCCCCTGCCCAGTGGCTCCTTCTCACCATTGCTGCAGCCAGCCAGGCCTCAGGAAGGGCCTGCCATGAATCTCCTTCTGCAGTCTTCAGATCTACACTGAGCTTGGGGTTAAGGGTCACAGTAACCAGAAAATTTCTAGGGCCAATGGGATGAAGAGGCCCTGAGCCTTCTCCCCAGATATAAGTGATGTCTTGTTTCGAATGATCGGCCTCCCAGGGCTCAGGGACACAGGAAGCAGGCGTGGCCTGCCCTGATGAGACAACCTCCCTGCACACCTTAAAACATGGCACTAAACTGGCCAGCTGCCATTTTCTGGTCATGAGGAGGAATTGGGAAAAGTAGTCTCACTTTTCAATAGCACTTTGCATAGCCAGGTTAGAAGGCCTGGGGACAGCAGAATGGCAACTGGAAGGCCTGGTGAACCAGGAGCCCCCAAGCCCAGAGGTCTGCCATTTAAAGGAAACCTAAGACTGTTCTGACTCCTACTCCAGTTTAGTGTCTTGGACCCAGAACATCCAGGACAAAGAGCAGCGCATGTATGACATTGGGTTCCTTTGAGTACATTCGTTGGTCCCAGGCCCCACTTTCCCCGCTCATCCATTTGCATTTGTGGATGGGTGGGGCTTTAAACAGAAGGGAGTATCTGAGGACTTTTCTGGTTCTTCTCCTGACCTACTTGGGCTCCTTCTCTGTTGAGGAGGCCATTTAGGAGTCAAGAAACCACTTATTTCTAGTCTTCAGAGAAAATGGGAACAGGCCCAGGCATTGGAGGTCCCAGGGCAAGGAAAATAGAAGATGCCCTAGGAATACACAGGTGATTTCCACTCATCTGCTCCTTGTGCTTTTATGACTCAACCAAATTAACAGAACCTGCAAATCTCAAATACATTCATGCCTATTAAGTTCTACCAGCTGATGACAACCATGCTACCTTGGTCACAAAGCTAGAGTTCTCAGAAGCATTTGGGGCAGCTGGATTGAATGAGCTTGCTGCCTTCTCTTGATTCAAGCTCATGTGAGAGAGGACAGCAAAAAGAGGCATGAGAGAGTGCTGCCATGCCAGAGGACATGAAAGGCAGGTGCCGGGACGATAAGTCAAGGCACCAGGTTCCTCCCTCTTGACCCCACCCAACTCTGCTCTGCCTCCTTCCCAGGCCTTGACATGCAGTGGTGGACACTTCTGCATTCACTAAATTTTTGTCCAAGTTAGCATTCACCTTAAACTCTCTGATTCTAAGGCATACTTGGCTAAGATCCAGATTCTACCCCACACCAGCAGGCAAACTAATACTCCACTGAGTGTAAACTGAAACTGAAACTGAGACACACAAGAAACAGCCAGGTCTCCAAAAGCAGCAAGGTGTAAAGAAAAATCTGCCTTGGATCAATGAAGATGAAAGAGCAGAGGTGTCTCTTTAGAAAGGAAACCCTGTGCCTTTTTTTTTCTATTCTCAGGAGGCTGGTGAGGGACAGACATCTGAGTAGACCTACAGGTCTCTGGTTCTGAAACTGGCTCTAGAAAGAAACTCCAGGGAAATGACTCCCAAGGCTCAGAACCAGGAGCAATTGCCATGGGGGTGGACCCTAAGGCTGCATGGGAACAAGAAAGAAACAGAGGGTCTGAATGATGAGGAGATCTGGTGTGGTGAGGAAAGGCATGTTTGTGGTTCAAGGTTTAGGTTTTCTTTAATGTTTCTTCCAAAGGTTACTTTAAAAAAAAAAAACTTTAAAGTTAAACTTTTAAGTTTGTTTAAAGTTATTTTAAACATGATTTCTTAATATAGAGATATTAAAGAGAAATCTAAGTTCATGCTTGCAAAGTTGGGTTGATCACAAGCCAAAAGCAGCAGAACAGAGTTAAAAACCCATCGGGGAACAGAAGCCTCACCCCCTGGGCCTGAGATCATGCAGGCCATGCAAAAGACACGTGCCCACAGCATGGGGTGGTGGCCATGGAGAAGAGCTGCATCCATAGTGTGGAAACTACAGGGATGAGGGTCCAACAGCCCCATGACAATATTTACTGCACACACAATGAGAAACTGCATGTGCTAAGTTTTTCCCAATTTTGGAATAGGTGCCTATCTGCCCTAATGACGAGGCTCTCACTATGTGTCTACACAGGGCCCTGCGCAGGGGTGAGATCTGAGGGCATCCTGCCCTCCCCTTATGACCCCATGCCACACTGTCTAAAAGTATACCCTAAAAAGTGATTCCTTTAAGTCAATAAATCGATTCTCCCTCCATTTCTTTAAAAAGTAAATTCTCCAGGGAGCGAACGTTTGACCGTTCACACCTTCCTGTGTGTTACATCAGCACAGAAGAGTTGTGGAAAGTTTGGCTCCTTCGACCATGGGTGCTTTCCTTTCCTTCGAAAGGAAAGGGCTCCTTCGACCATGGGTGCTTCCAGTAGAGAAGACCCAGGTAGGAATCTGCCAGGGACACCCCAGGAGGAATAAAGGTACCTGGAGGTGGGATGGGGAAGCACAGGCAGAGAGGAGGCAGCAAGTGGCCTCCTTTATGCCCTGCCTGGCTCTGAGCATGCAAGTCACACAGGGTCAGGCAGGCAAGACTTGGGGAAAATGAATCCCAGAACCTAATGGGGTCTCTACCATTTTTCCCCAGCATACAAGCAAGGTCTGTTGGCACTCATGTCCCAGACTTTGTCCAAAGAGTGAAGAAATCATTCCAATATTAGGAGATAGATCCCTCTTTGCTCAAAAGGAACATCCCTAAGGTTAATTTCAGACATCCTTGAGCCCCAAAGTGCCACTTGTCCCATTCCCCCCTCTTCTCCCCTGGCCCAGGCTGGAAGCCTCTTCCATGGAAGGTGGCCGGGGCAGGCCTCTGGGCTTCCTTCCCTTTTTTGGGTCATCAAGAATCAGATTATCTTGTTCTACCTTCCCTCAACCCAGAGGCTTGGAAATGTCTTGAGTTCCTTGGAAAAAGACATCAAAGAGAGAACATGACTAATTCAGAGAAACATCCAGAAGACAGAACCATGGAGGGACACCAGAAGCCCCCTCTGAAGAAAAGGAGGAGGTGAGACCATGCTACACAAGGATAGGACTTGCCCTGCTTGTCCTGTCCAAGATAGGAGGCAGGTCCTTGCAGCAGCCTGCTGCCCGATCTGGAAGAACCAGCCCTTCTATCACCAGCCTGCCCACCCTTCCCTCTACCTTTGCTGTCCCCCAGGGTATTTCCACCCTAGAAGGACTTGGAATTCATTAATAGTAGAAAGAAACATGGACAGCTGAAGGGTGGACAAGACCATGGAAGACGCTCAAGACTCGAGTACAGGAGGAAGAAAGCTGCTTGGGGTAACTGCTACCATCTCCCACCTCTGACATGGTCACTTCTCTATAAGGGGAGCATTCCTTGGTTCCTCCAAGTGCCGATTAGGGATGGCTTCCTTGGACCAACCAAGTCCCCTTCTACTTCTCTCCTCAGGAGATGAGATGTGCTCCCACAGACACAGCCCCAATAGAAGCCTTTCACCCCACATACCAAGCGGGACCTTCCAAGACCTCTCAGCTTCTCCCTGCAGATGCCCCCATGATTCTCTGTCCCTGGCCGACACAAAAGAGAAGACAAAAGGTGCAGGTGATATGCTTATTGGCCCCAGAGGGGCAGGTGGCTGGATCTCCCTCAGGGAAGACAAGGCAGAGGCAGGAGGGCCATGAAGGGCCAGGGAAGGCCCAGAGGCGCCACCTTTGCTTAGCTGGTCGCCCTCCAAGGTGACTGTTTTTCAGAGATCCCAGCTACATTTCCACAAGGTAGGGGTGGGTGTGAAGGTGAGCCCCTCCCCCAGACCCTGTTCCTCGGAGGGGCTCCAGGTCTTGGAATTCAGTATACGCACAGGTCGGGGAACTTCATCTCATAGACGGGGATGGAATGGTTCTGTGGCTGGCCGTAGGCTGCGGTGATGGTTCCTGATGGGCTCGGAGGGGGCCTGAGGGGACACAGAGAGGAGAGAGCCATGAGGTGAGAATTCTGCAGTCCCACTCCTGGGCAAGGAAACACAGCAACTGATTTGGGTTTCCTTTTGCACAGGGACCAGAGAGCTTGTCACTCCCTGGGGTCCCAGGTTTCTAAGTTGTTCCAGAATCTAGAGCTTAGGCAGGTCCTTGGAAGAGTCTACAGTGATACCGCTGCTTTAAATCACATACCAGCCTGGGACACTAGGCCTCACCCAGCCAGCCTCTTTCCCCTCTCTGATCTCAGTCTCCTTGTCTAGGGAGAGTTGGTGACTGACTCCAGCCCTGGGAACAGAGTTGTGGTTCGTGGAAGGACTGAAGGCAAGTGTGCAGATGCAGGATGAGAGCCTTGATGCTGAGGGCACAGGTAGGGGTCCCCTGCCCAGGACTGCCACTTACCGAATGGTGATTTCAAAGATCTGGTTGAGCTTGCTCTGCAGCAGCGATGCCTAGACACAAACAGAGCGGAGTGAGCTGGGCGCTCCCGGGCCCCTACCAGTTGACTCAGGGCCCACCCATCTAGAGGATGTCCTGGAGATGCTGGGACGTGCAGCCCAAGGAGGACACTCGGGTGTGGGATGCCTGTGGGGCCCTGACTGTAGATTCAGACTGGGAAGAGCTACTGTCAAAGGCTGGCTACGGGCAGGACAGATGTCCAGGAGTAGCAGGGAGGCTTTGGGCAGGCAGTTCTTGAGTTCAAGGTCATTGCCCCTGAACGTGGGGTGGCAGGGACTGCATGGGGCCAGGAGACTCGCAGTGGGCGTCAGCTCCTTTCTCGACTCACATTTGTCCAAAACCTGGGCCTTGACTCCTAGCTCATGAGGCATCACCCCTGTGGCGCCCCGCTTACCCGGGCCCCGCAGTGGGCTGCAATCTCCTCGAAGGGTGCCTTCTGGAATTTCTCCACCACCTGTCGTCGCCGCTCGCGCTCCTGTTCCTCCACGGCTACACTGTCCACTGCAACGACAGCACGGTTAGTGCCCAGGTCCTCCTCACTGATGAGGAAGCGGAAGGGCTTGGGGAGATGGACAGGGTGTGGACTCGGGGCGGAGGCGCAGGCCGTGACTGCTGCGTGAGCGCTGCCCTCTGACTGCTGGCGAGTGGGCCTGCGCCTCAGCCGCCAGGGCAGGGCTGAGTCAGAGCGGAGAGGGCAGCCCTGCCCTCCCCTGGAACCAGTCACGGCGGCCCCTAACTTACCAATGGCCTTCTTCAGCGTCTCATAGGTGATCTCCTCGGCCGGCACTCGCTGAAGGAGAGGGGACAGAGATGCTCAGAGAGGTGGATAGCAAAGGGCAGCCCTGGCCTCCCAGCTATCTGGCACCCCTTTGCTTCTTAGCAGAATGTCCAAAGGGATCCCCCCCCGATCCTCCAGGGTCTCTGAAGCTCCCGGAGCAGGCACGGAGGACAGCGAGAGAGGTGGGGGTGAAGAAAGGAATTCCTCATCAGATTCAAACTTACGGCTGAGTCCCAAGTCTAAAAAGCCCCCTGTCCCCTGCTTCTCACTCCAGCCTGTCCCTCTCACTCAAGCCTGTCCTGGAGGAGGAAAGTACCATGTAATTAAAAAAAAAAAATCTTGAGATAATAACAGAAATTACTGGAAGAAAGAAGGGGCAGTTGGCAAGTATAATCTTGAGTGTCAATTTTAAATACGGAATGACATTTTTGAAGATTTAATGATATTAAATTATCTACCAAGGTGAGCAGAGTTTTAATATTGGTGGGCCCTTCACTGCAGAGGTTGGTCCAAGGACATGGGTCGCAGGACCTGAGCACTCTGTAGAGTCTATGAAAGGAGGTGGGAAAAAATAAAACCCAAAGAAGGGAACACCAGGGATGTGTGGCCTTAGGTCAGATGCAGAAAACAGTGAAGGAGCTTGGACGAAGTTCCAGAAATCCCCACCAGACTATGAGCTCCTTGGGGCAAGACCTGGGACTTACTCATGTTCCATCACTTAAACACAAGTATTTGAAAGAAGCAGACACAGAAGAAGATGATATCATTGACACGAAGTTCAAGGAGTGATCAAATCAGGCTAGTGGCTCCCTTTGGGGAGAGGGGTGGCCAAGAGAGGGGGCAGGGCCCCTGGGCGGTAACTGTTCTATTCCCTGATCTGGATATGATGACATGGGTGCATTTTTCTTTGAGCTGCATATATTTAAAAAATTTACTTGGCATCCAGTAAATGATGGAGTGGAAAGAACAGAAGTGTGGATAAGGGACAAAGTCATTCAACAGCTTTTTTGGGGCGGTACCAGGGATTGAACTCAGGGGCACTCAACCACTGAGTCACATCTCATCTCACCTATTTTGTATTTTATTTAGAGACAGGGTCTCACTGAGTTTTTAGTGCCTCGCTTTTGCTGAGACTGGCTTTGAATTCGTAATCCTCCTGCCTCAGCCTCCCGAGCTGCTGGGATTACAGGTGTGCGCCACCACACCTGGCTCAACAAATGTTAAATGAGTACTAATTACATGCAGGGTTCTAAGTGGATCATTCAATAGAAATCGGAAAAATTTCCAGCATTGGAATTACGAACACGAGAGTGCTATGCTGAGCTGTAATTCATCTGAGGATCCATCCTCTGCATATCCATCTATGCATGGTGTGCAACTATCCAATGTCAGATACTCACATGCAAGGTGCTAGGGAACTGTGGTGATGACAGTCAGAGAAAAAGAAACTCACTGGGCAAGAGCAGGTAGAGAGAAGTGAATGGAAGAAATGGAACTAGAGTGGGCATTGAAGAACAGGTAGCTCACAGGCATGAAGGCACACACACGTGGAGAAGAAGGGTGAGTCTCACATGGACTCCAACACTAGCAAACCCACAGAGGCAGCATGGGGGAGGCTGAGGGCAGTCCTACCAGGCTGGGATGGTGGGTGGGGTAAAATGATATGGTAGTGCCAGCCCAGACTGTCTCTGAATGCCAAGCACCAATATTGAAATTGGACCAAACCGGCCAGCATAGATTCATCAGCCACCCCTTCCAGAGGCAACTGATAGTAGGTGGCTATGTAGCCAGGTAACCATTGCTCCTCCTCCTGCTCCACTTAACTCATCAATTCCTGAGGGACTCTTGGAAAGGGAGAATCATTTCCACAGTGGGAGACAGCAGCCAACCAAACCCTGAGGCCTGACACTCTGGAGGTTCCCAGTCTTTTACAGCAGGAAGGGCTCAGAGAACCCATCCCACCCCGGACCCCTGTTCCACATCCTCACTTTTGTGGTCCAATTAGCCCAATTCAGAGCTTCCAGCCTTCCCTGAGAAGGTTCCTGACAAGTTTTGAAAGCCCCAAACTGGAGCTCTGCTTGGTAGTTGAGGGCATGGTTAGAGGGAGCCTGACCTGTGGGGATTAGAACCTGCAGTACTAATAGGATATCAGTGCCTATAGGGTCCTGTAACAGTAGGGACATGGCAAACCCACAGAACGGACACCACCTAGCGGGAACCCTAATGTAAATCATGAACCGTGGCTGGTGACAGTGTGGCAGTGTAGGGTAATCAACTGTCAGGCAGGTGTCACTCTGGTGTGGATGTTGGAAGGTTATGTATTTGTAGAAAGCTTAAAATTTTCGTAAAGAGTTGAGTTTTGAAAATTGCTTTCATGTGGAATTGGGCTAAAACTTGTTTCTAGATGAAATTATAATTGAAATTATAATTTGTAATTATAATTTGAAATTATAATTTGATCTAGAGAGTCCCTCTTGAGAAAAAAATCATCAAAGTACTATGGTAGTGTTGGGAGCCTTTTTAATAATCTTAGAAAGAATAAATGTTTTAGCCCAGAAAGCTATAAGTATATGGGATATCTCTGGATCCTCTTGTCACATTTGCTTTTAACTTAAAACTGCTTTTAAAATAAGTCTTAATAAAAAATATGCCAATATGTCTGGAAGACGCACTATGAAAGCTATTTTCACCCTCATCTTTTCTGCTGAGCCTCTGACTTGAAACCCAGAGCACATAATGCCCCTAGTGTGAGTAGGGAATGGAACCAGAGTGTGTTGGGAGGGAACACTGATAAGTTTTTCAGATGGAAATATCAATTTTATACAGCCAGAGTTGGTAAGAAAATGGCTTTACCGAGAAACTAATTTCTACTTAAGCTTCAGTGCGTCGGGCTGTGTAGGGGGCTGGTGTATCTGGTGTCCAGAAGCTTCACCAGGACAGTGACAAGGACACTCACCTCCTCCTTCTCTGGACTGTTCCTTGATTCTACTTCCACCTGCAGGGAAATGGTCTCTCCAATGCTCTTTCTCTTGGATAAGCGATCTTCATCTGCAAAAGAGAAGCCGCAAAGCTGGAGTTGCCAGCCCTTGGAGAGCCAGGTTTGAGATGCTGGTCCCCTCTCCCTCAGTATCTGCAGCTCACACTTAAGCTACATGTGGAGCTTACAGAAGCTTCCTATTGCTGAGAGCCTCCCCACCTATCTTGGGGTGGTCTGTTTGCTGCACTGGGTTAAGGTTTTGTAAGCACTGATGATAACAAAGAAGCCTCTTTGACTGGAAGGCACATCCAGCTTGCATAAGCACCAGCTGCTAAAAGCACCTGCAGCCATCATCTGTACGGTTTACTAAGTGCATCTGCCATCACCATCTCCTAGATCTCTCCCGCTGATCATCTATGAGGTATTTCACAGGGAAACTGAAACTCAGCGATGTTTAGAGACTTGTCTAAGATTTTTCAGGCAGTAAGTTGCATGGAAATCTCAAATAGATCTCTGGTTCCATAGTCCATGTGTGCTCTTTCCAGGACAATGGGCCCCCTGACTCACATCCACAGGCCAGGCTAATACACGGGGCTGTGGATGTGAGTACTGAGGAGGAGAGGCAGGGAAATCAAGATGTCACCATAAATTCTGTTGTGTCTTTGGACTCTTGTGCAACATTTAAGATGTCACAGAAGGTAAGAGCCCACAAGTCCCTTTCTGGGCCTTTATATAGCCAAGAAAAAGCAGAGGCAAGCTTGAGAGTCATTGCATGGAGCTCGTACCTGTTAGCTGAGGGATGTAGGGTAGGCAGAGCCTGTCTGAATTGTAGCCACTGCCCCCCAGGACTTCACTGATCTTGCTCTGGCGGAAGAGGAACTCTATGACCACGCCATCGAGATTTTGAGACAGCCTGGATGACGAAGGGGGGGGAGAGGCAAGGTATAACTAAGGTTTCTCCCCAACGAATTCCTTGTATTGAAAGTAATGATTTGTTATGCAAAGTGATAGAGAAGCAAAAGAGAAAATCACCCACAGTCCCATTTCCAGAGAGAACTACTATTTATATTTGTGTAGGATCCTTCAGTTACATAGATTTATGCCCACACATGAACGTCTCCTTCTCCAACACATTGTTCTGAAATTTTTTTTCACTTTTTTTTTTTAGATATAGATGGACACGATACACTTATTTTATCTATATTATGTGGTGCTGAGTGCCAAACCCAGTGCCTCACATCTGTGAGTCAAGTGCTCTACCACGGAGCCACAACGCTAACTCTGAAAATGTTTTATTCACCTATTATGTAGTGAATTTTTCACATGAAATATTCTTCAAAAACATCATTGATATTATTTGCCAGATGTTCATTGCGTGGATGGGCTGTAGTTTGCAAAGCTATGCTCTCTTGTCGGACACTTTTTTTTTTTCTAAGATCTTTCCCTTGAATTCGTCTGATGCTGAAACCATGCTGACCTACAGCACAGTCTGAACGTGGTCTCTGAATGTCACTTGGATGGACAGCAGTGTGCTGTCAGGCATGACTCCTATAGGACATATTTCCTGTAGGTTTGGCCAAAGTTCCCAGAGGTCACATCATGTCCTTTACAGCACAACACAGCAGCCTGCCATCATCGCCTGCTTGGGGTATGGACCACTGTACCATGATAGTGCCCATCCGCCCAGGATTTCTGGGTCACGGGCAGGCTCCACTTTCTGCCCTGGATTCCACAGAAGCCCAAGCCTCCTGGTGTGCAGCCTCTTTTGACCTCAGCCTGCCCACCTCCCTACTCAGCTGCCCGGGGAACCCTCGACCATGTCCCAGGGGTGCTCCTCACCTGGGCCTCTCCACAAACACATCCTCAGGGAGCATGTATGGAGCTTCCTTCTTCCTGGTCTCTATCACCTGGAATTTGAGAGGAATCAGATGATGAGAACTGGGTCCAGGAGGGCAGAGGAGCTCAGAACAGGCAACAGAAGGAGCGGCCACCTCAGTGTCAGCTTTGACTCCTCCCCACCACCTCCTTGCAGGGTACACTACAGAGGGGCTTCTCAAGGGAAACCAGGATCCCCAGCGACTCTCAGAGCAGCCTACGGAGCACAAGGCGCCTGCTACAAAACTATCGCCATCAACAACACATGGACATCAAGTGCTCTCAAGTGCAGGGCACTGCTGAGGAACTGCAGTGTCTTGCTCCTGGGTCCTGTTCCTGTGCTAGCTACTAAGACACATAACAGAGGGATACAGATTGCACCATGTCCCAAAGCTGGGAATTGCAAACACATCCTGATGGACAGTGATAGCTTGAGTTTTCCTCAGCATCTTTTGCAAATTTTTGGAAGAAAGGTAAAAATGACTAAGATGATGAGTAGTTGGGGGAGGGAGGGTATGCAGGTGTGTGCAGGTGAGCTGGCAATGATCCCATGAACCAATAGAGAGATGCCTGGGTATTGCCCTTCTTGCACTCTCTTATCAGCCCAGAGGCTGGGAGGGTCCAACTCCTTTGGGGTGGTCTTTGATCCAGTGCCATGGCACCCTTCTCCATGTTCCCAGGACAGCTGAGACCTGGAATGCTGCTTACTTTCCTTTTGCTAGTGCCTTTTAAAGTTAATTTGGACATCAAATCATTCTACCCATAAATATTCTAGCATCTTTTAAAAGATCTTTATGTAACAACAGAGAGCATTTGACTGTAGTCTGTATATTAGATAATCTCAATGGATTTTTTTTGGTTTTGAAAACTTAATTAGATATGTGCCTAGCATGACAGTCACGGGGGAGATGCCCATATTGTATTTTTTTTTTCTAAGCCATGCAGACTAATGTACGTAAATTGCAAGGACAGAGAGCTGGGATTTGTTTTAAAACATTTCAGAAAAGGTAAAGAAAAGGAAACAGCCGAAGTAAAAGTGGGAAAGTCTTCTGAAGTATTTACTCTGCATGATATCTAATGGATGTTGACTGTTCTCACCCTGCTTTTGGTATTTGAGAATTTTCATGGTAGGAAAAAAAAAAAGTAGCCTTCGTCCATATGATCTCAGGAGTGTGTGCTTCCGTGAGCTGGGAGAGGACAGAGAGCAGGAAGCAGGTATAGGGCAATCCCTGTGCTGGACCCCATCTGCTGTGTCATCAGGCAGGAGGAAATGCCACCTCATGTCACTTCTCACTGTCATTAATTCTTCCTTCAACTCTTTCTTCCTAAGGCCAAGAACAGTACTGATACAATTAAGTAAAAGCTGTTCCTGGGAAGCCCCAAGCTGAGGGCCTCCTGAGCGCTCAGCATCATGGGGACACTGACCTCGTGGATGTGCTGGCAGAAGGCAGGTACCGTCGTCAGCTGGCTGATGAGGTTCAGGTAGGCTGCACCCAGAGCGTAGAGCGCACAGCGGTTGTACACAGGCAAGTTCTCTTCATTGACCTGGGCCACATCCTGGGGTAACACAGATGGGCCTCTGGAGTTTTTATCCGAGAAACTATTCTGCAGTCTGCACCCTCCACCCAACCTCTCCCCAGTCTTTAGAGATGGCTCCTTTTTCTAGACTGAGTCTTTCTCAGCATTTTCTCCATAACTTTCCAGGTAGACAAGAGTCACCCTCATTAAAGTGGAAGGGGATGGTTTCTAGAACAATTCATGAACTGGAGGTTCTTAAATACTGAGTATGGTGGCAATGACCTCAACTCCCCACTCTGTGGTGAAGCGGTAGTGACTTTTACTGTCCAAACCCTCGTCATCAATTCCACCGTACGGATGCCATCTCCATCACTACAATTGATTCTTAGAGAAAGAAACTGGCTTGCTAAACTGGGTCCACATGTTAAACTGAGAAAGCTGTGGGAGTCACCAAGGGGTTGGGGTACAAAGGAATTCTAATTCTGTTTCTTGAGCATAAAAAAGAATTAAGAAATGTTTAGCATTTCCCACTTGCAGGATTTAGCACTGCCAAGTGGTAACCTAAGGCTCCCCATCACTCAACTCCCAGACTTGCTGTGACACTTGCTGATGCCCATCCGGCTTCAGGACCTGTACACTCCAGCCTTTGAGGTCTGAAGGGTCCACTCTGACGCCCTCAGGAGCATACTTCCACCCAGAGAGACCCTGAAAGTCTCAGATCCTGCCCAGGACCACAATGGCTATAAATTGCAAAGGAAGTTTGTTAACTATACAGGTCTTCAGGCTCGGGAAACGGACTTACCAGTTCAGGGAATATGTATTTTTAACAAGCACTCAAGGCAATTTGGAAGAATATCTAAGTTTGAGAACCAGAGGATCTTTAGACAATTAAGTTTGCCTAAACAAATTTGTTTCAGGATCACTCAGGGCTTATGAATATCCTCTTGGAAATCCTTGGATTCTCACTCAGACTCTGAGAGGGACTTGAAATACTCAGGGATAAAGGGTGTTTTTCAATGACCCTGTTCCTTAGGGCTCCCTTAACTTGAGGATGAACCGATGTCATAAATTACGCAATCTCGAGGGCGCGCCAGACAAGACCATGGTTTGGGGTCTTCGTGGAAGAATGGCCAACCAAGAGTACAAAGTTCTCAGGCTTCAAAACGATTGTTAAGCAACTGCTTCTCAGTTTTCTTATCAGTCCTTGGCCAGATCAGGGCCCCTCCCTACAACTCCTAACCGGTAGGTCCTGCCCACACCAAGCCCCACCTGAACAGCCAGCACCAAGCGGATGAGGTCCACCACCACTTCCTCGTTGGCCAGCTCGATGCTGATGAGCGCCAGCAGGCCGTAGAGGGCCTCGTAGTGCCTCTGGATGTTCGTCTCCTCCTTACAGCTCAGGTAGATGTGCCTATAGAGCTGCTGGGAATGCTGGGGACAGGAGTGTGGGCGGAGGACGGCCACAGGGCATGGGGAGGGGACAGGAGAGACAAGGAGATGGGAATGAAGACCAAAGTGAAGGGAGCGAGATGGCTGCATGTGCCCCACGTCCACCCTCAGGGAGGGAGTCTTTTAAAGCAGACCTCAGTGGCCTGAGAGGTGAACACACGGGAGAGAACATGTTTGGGGGATGACGGACCCCAGGGACGCTGGCAACCCAAGCTGCAAACCCAGCTTCAGGAGCACAACATGGCAATGGCCCTGGACTGGCTCAGTGGGGGGATGGCCCTGGCCTTGGCAGAGGGTGACACTGCGGGCTTGGCCTCCCAGGGGAGGCAGCTGGGTGACGTGACCAAGCCGATGTGCAGAGCGAGGCAAGCTGGCGGGGGCAGTGGTCAGCGTGACTCAGGGGCTGGAAGGTTGGGTCCAGAGGTCCACTCGCTTACCTTCTTCATGAAGACAGTGTCCTGTCGGGAGCACTTGTCCACTTTCAGCTTCAGGACTGAGATGTCACTGAGGGTACTGGGAGGGGACAGAAGGGGCCCCTTAGCCCTCGTGTGAGGCTCGCCAGAGCCCACACAGTGTCACTGGGCTTTATCCCAGAGCCGTGGAGGTTTCCCATGCTCCTCCGGCCCTACTTTTACCCCGATCTCAATTTTCTTCCAAGGTCTCCAGTTCCTGTTCTTTTCTCTTAATTCTTTGATCCTGATTATCTCTTCTTCCCCTATTCCCCCCCAATTCTTCCAGTTTCTACTGATGACCCACATCCTCTTCCCTCCACCTAAAACTCTCTGTAGTACCTTCTCTTTATCTCCCAGGTCTCCGCTCCCCTCTCCCACTACTCCCAGGCGCAAGTATCTTTTGGTCTTTTCTCCCCTCAAGGACCCAAGGGTCAACATCCGCGATCTGCTCCCTGGTGGGGTCCCACCAGCAGGTGAGGCTGCTGGCCAAGAAGACAGAGCCCCACACACGTCAACTCAGGAGAGACTCCCAAGTTCACCTGATGGTAGAGAACTTGTGGCGGTTGCCATGACGATCAATGAAACTGATGAGAATCTCCAGAACGAAGAGGCGAATTTCTGCATCCTCCATGAGGGCGGTGGAGAGAAGGCGGTCGAGGAAGTTGCTGGGCAGAGCTGACATCATGTTGCTGCACTGGAAACCTGTGGACACCTGCAAGGCAGCCCAGGACAGGTGTGCTCAGGAACCCTGCCCCTCTCAGGTGCAATGAGGAGAGGGATGAGCAGCCAGGAGACGTTGGCCTAAATTGTCATCCTCTCAAGACATTGCCCAAGCCAGCTTCCCTTCCCTCCTTCCCTCCCAATCCTTGGGCACCACAGGAAAACTTTGTTTCCAGTACTGGGGACTGAACCCAGGGACGATCTACCACTTAACCACATCCCCATGCCTTTTATTTTTTTATTTCGAGATAGGATCTAACTTCCTCAGGCTGGCTGAACTTGTGGACCTCCGGCCCCATTTTCCCGACTAGCTGAGATTATGCTTGTGCTCCACTGTGGTTGGAAGCCACAGGCAACTTTTTAAAAATACTCCAACATCCACCTAGATAACCTACTTGGCCCAGCTCAGCAGATGTGCGGGTGGATGTAGACAGGGTGAGGAAGATTAGGTGTTAAAAGCAAGCAAAGGATGAGCACCAGAAAGAAGCAAGAGCAGGAAATCTCTGAACATAATATTTCAGCCAGTCAGGGCACATCTGAGCAGCACCCACCATGAACACAATGCTTCATTAAGAGCACAGAGACTAGTATGGTGGCACATACCTGCAATCCCAGAAACTCGGGAGGCTAAGGCAGGAGGATCTCAATTTGAGGCCAGCCTCAGCAAATTAGTAAGACTCAAATATAAAAAATAAAAAGGGCTGGGGATGAAGCTCAGTGGTAAGAACCCTGGGTTCAATTCCCAGTACTGCAGGGGGGAAAAAAAAGAGTCTGGACAGTCTCAGGAACTAGACAGTGGAAGAACTTGTAGCTGGGTCAAAGAATCAGAACTCATACACAGCAACAACCACAGAGCACTCACAGAACTTATCTGGTTATATCTCTTGTAGCGGGATGATAAGAAGGGCCTTCTGCTCAGAGTCACTTGGCATAAACAGACACATCATAGATGATGTCAAAGCATTCAACAGCACCAAAGCACATTTACTGTTAAGCCCATATTGCAAAGCAATGCCTTTGATAATTCAGAAAGCCTCCAAGAATCCAGCCCAACTTGGTAGTATCTTTAATGAACATCAGTGCCCACTGAAGAGGATGTATGCGAGTGTGCCCCAACCTGTCACCTTAACAAATGCTGGGTACAAATTAATGAGGGTAAACTCAGCAAAGATATGGTGGGAATATGAAGATCAAGGAGATAACTAATGATCAGACATGGGCAGTGTCAGAGCAAAACAGAGTGATGATGATGATGATGATGATGATGATGATGATAAATGCAGTGATTAGAAGGGTGAGGGATGGAAAAGAGGGAAGGGGAGGCTTGGGTGGGAGTGAGGGTGAATCCATCCAGGCTGTCATGTTCCAGGAACAGAGAGAGGGACCGAATGGTGAGATGGAGAGTCGGGGAGGAAAAGGGCACTGGGGACCTTCCAACTTCCATCGGAGAAGTCTGAAATCTGGGGAGACCTATTCTGAAATATAGGGTAGTGCATGGGGAACAGCATTTCTATAAAGTTCTTCTTCTTCTTTTAATTTTTTAGTTGTTGTTGGGCCTTTATTTTATTCATTTATTTATATGTGGTGCTGAGACTCGAACCCAGGGCTTCACACAGGTGAGGCAAACACTCTACCACTGAGCCACAGCCCCAGTCCCTATAAAGATCTTCTTGTGACTGTGTTTATGATAGTGGAAAAGAGATGGAGGCGAGAGCAACTGGGAGAATAATGTAGTTGTGAGACGTCCAGAGTTGAGGCCGGACGGAGCCAGGCACCAGAGCACCTGGGGAGCCTGTCACAGAGTTCAGGACCTCGTCACTGTCACCACCTCTAGGGAACCTACAAATGGTGGTCTGACTCCAGCGACGGCCACAGAGATGCAAAGAAGAGGTGTGTGAAATACCAAGGAGGGAAAGATGGTGTCTGTGAGATGAGATGGGCTCAAGTAACAAGGGGGAAACCAGGATAGGACCTGGGGAGGGGACCCAGGAGGGAAAAAGGGCAGGAACCAATAGATTCCATCTCCAGACACATGCAATGTTGAGTGACAAGGCTACTAGTGACTAATAAGGAACCTTTGGAAAAGTTATAAACAAAGAGTCTGCCCTGCTCAGGAAGACCTAGATCTCTGGGTCCAGCTTGGATAGTGAATAGAAAACATGCTGAATTTCAGCCCCTGACTCACCCTTCTGGCTGGGCACATTTGTGCAGTATGCAACTGCATGACTGTATGCAGTGGCCTTACTTTTGGTCCTGGAAGGAGTTGTGCCCTGTACAGGCAGGGCAGGAACAGGGATGGGAGAAACTTACCTGCAGGAGGGACTTCAGCAGCATAATCTGGGTCAGCCTATTCCTGTTCTCCCTGTAGACCAGAGACACACAGGAGGATGGTGATTCGGGTGGAGACCCCCAACTTGCCTGCTCAGTTCTCCCTCTGCTGAGTTTCTCCATGTGGCTTATCTTGTTGGGTTACCCCAGGATCACCACCCGACAGCCCCAAGAAGCAGACCAGGGAATGAATGGCTCCCCATACGGTGAGGGGTAGGGATGTGGGTCAGCCTGAGAACTGCTGTGGTGTTCAAGGGCCTCACTAAAGGCTGCTGAGGGATTTGGGAATGAAAAAAAAGAGAGGGCAGAGTGGGCAAAGCTAAAATGGATGGAGTAGACAGCCAGAAAACAGGGGAGGGAAAACTGGGCGGAGTCTAGGTTGGGAGAGGGTGGAGGACTCACCCGGTCCTCCCGGTCTCTATGGCATGATGCAGGGAAGGCAGAGGGACCTTGCTCATGATGAAGAGGATCACCTCGGAGCGCTGGTAAGTGGGCAACGTGCTGGCAAAGGAGCCTGTGGGGGGAAATGGTGGAGAGTGGTTGGCCCAGGGGAGGCCAACAGCTGCTGGGCCACTCTTGCTTCAGCCTTTGTGCTGAAGGAGCCACTGTGGAGACTGACCGCTGCGCTCCAGGGACCATTCAGACCCAGAGAGAGAATCTGCTCAGGATGGCCTGGGTGTGACGCTGCCTCTCCTGGAAGAGGAGGCACTTAGAGGACTCCAGAGGGCTCTTCTGGGTTCTGGTTCCTTCACTTATTACTGGGATTGAGGTTAAGGTCTTGGCTTCTTTTCTAGGGATTAGAGAACCCTAGAAATGAGAGGCAGGGACCAGGGCAGGAGCCCCAGGTTTTCCTGCTGGGCACCCTGGGGCAAGTCATGCCTCCACCCACAGCCAGGGCTCCTCGGCTCCTGCCCTGTCCCCTCCTCAAAGCTGATGGAAAGCTCAAATGGTGCTAGGACAGGAAGGCTTCAGGTTGATGGGCCTCACACACTCAGGGGTGGCTTTCCCATTCTCCACAGCCACATGCACAGACATTTTCTCCATGGCAACCTCCACCTCCCTCCCTCTTTTCTCCCCTCCCCTCGGGTCGCCCCCAACTGGAAGCGTCAGGCAGGTCTAGGGTGGAGTCCAGGGTGGGAAACCCAGGGGATCAATTTGTGTTTTCAGGGCCCGCGCGGGCTGGACCGTGCACACCAGAGACTGGTTCCATTTCCCCTACTGTCGGTCAATAGCGAGACGCGGATGTTTGACAGTCCTACAACCGACACC